GGGGGGGGCGAGATGATGTATTGGGGACAACTCATCATCCTCATACATATGCCACGCCACCACCTTACTATTTCTTCTTGCTTTCCCCTTTTCTTCCATTTTATTTATTCATTCATTTACATGGGAGAATTAATTTATTAATTATTTTTTCACCCTCAAAGAAGAAGAAAGAAGAAGAAGAATTTGATTTGAGTCCAATCTCTCTCTCTCTCTCCTCCACAAATCCCGGTTCTTGATTTCTACTCAAATTCTATCTCTGAAGCTTTTTTTAATTTCACTGGTCTCCACACCATTAAAGCTCCAACCTTTTTGCTCCCAAATCAAGAAAACAGAAACCAGGTATGCCCTTTCTCTTTATCTCACAGTTTCTATTATTTTCTTGACAAATTAACATTTTTTTCTTGTTGGGATTATATGTTTCCGTATTGGAAATTCGAGTTTTTTTGTTATAAATAAAAAAAGGTGCAATTTTTTTTTTAATTTTTTCTTGGAATATTACTATACATGACTGAGTATATATGATCATGTTAGTCACATGCTCTAGTTTGGGTCGTTTTCTTTCTTTCTTTCTTTATTATCTGTGTTTTAATTTTTTGAATTCCTTGCATCTCTGTTTAATTTTCAAAGTGATCTTTAAAAAGAAACAAAAAAATTGCTTTAGAACAATTTATACATGGCTAGCTCTAGCTGAATATTATTGGGATGCAACTTGAACAGATGGTGCATATATAGCTTTTCTACATGAGTGGCACTCTATTTGAATTGGTATTAGCTTTAGTGTTTTGAAAATGCTATCCAAATGTAGCTTTTAGCATTAGCGTTTCCAAGCTTATTCTGCACCATTAAGAGAATACCCAAAATGCTAATCCCAATTAAAATGTATTTGCAAGTTGGGAGAGCTGAATTGATATGATGAGGCTCTAGATGTTGCTTAGTTGTGGCAGTTGTTGGAAGGGTTTTCCACCTTCTTCGTGTTTGTTTTTTTCCTCCTCTTTTTGGAAAATCTTGTTTTAGGGTTTTGTACATTTGTGTTTTGCGCTAAACAGTTTTTTAAAGATATTTTCATGTTGTTGTCCTTCCTTTGGTTCTTACTTTCTTTGAAGATTTAGGGTCTAACAGAAACGTGCTCTCTGCTTTTATGGTTGTTGATGCTTATTTTTCCTTTTATGGTCTAACGTGTTAAACCATTGCATTGTTTACTTTCCTCTTTCATTGGCATAATCTGATCGCAGTTGCTAGCTTTGATCTCAGACATGTCAAGTACAGATTCCAGAAAAGTCTCTTGTGAAGATATACAAATGGTAAGAATTTATTTATTTATTTTTTGTGGGATTTTACTAGGTAAGGATTAAATTAGCATATACTTCGTCCCAAAATAAACTTAACTTCACAAAGTTTAACAAAAGTGTTGAAAACTGTATGGTTGTAATTTGTTTAATTTGGGACAACCAAAAATGGAAAGTGAGAAATTTATTTCGGGACAGAGTTGGTATGGTGGGTTGATAAATTTTGTAAATTTGATGAATTTGTCATTGCAGGTGCAGAATCGTATAGAGCAGTGTCTTCGATGCTACATGAGTCGAGAAGAAGTGGTTAATGCCCTCTTCATTGGGGACAATATAGAGCCCAACTTTACTCAGATCGGTACGTTCATCCAAAAATCCGCATTCGTCTGTTGTGAATCACAATTTTTGGAAAGTCAACATTAATCTCTTTTCAGGTGGTTTTTTTTTTAAAAGTTTATATTTTTTTATGATGCTTTGAAAAACTTGGCGTCGTGTATCAAGAAGTTACAGTATCTACTTGTAATATCCAGTTTGGCAAAAACTCGAAGAAGAAAACGAGGAATTCTTCAAGGTATATTTCTTGAAGTTGATGGTGAAAGATCAGATTTTGAAGTTCAATCAGTTGCTTTCAAAGCAAGTGGCACTAATGCATCAGTTAGGACCGAATGCCATTTTGTCTTTGCCCGTCTCTAGTGGCCCTCGCAATTCACCTAGTAAGCGTTAAAATTTAGTCCTTTTTACAACTAAAGACTACTTTACCCTTATGTGTGCAGTATTCACCTTTTTTACATCTCTCTTACACTAGAAGGGCAAAAATGGAAAGTTGAATATTTTTTCGTCTCACGTTTAAAAAAACATGTCAAGTCCAAACGAGAAGAAAGTAACAATTAAGGCCGTGTTTTGTTTGGTAATATTTTTTCGATTTGTGTTTTGCGTAACATATACTCGAAACTTAATTTCTCGTCTTGTCCTCGTGTTTTATTTAGGAGAATTTACTTAAATAGCACTAAAATATAATGACTTTCCCTAAATAGCATCATATGTATTGTTTTTTTCCAATGTAGCACTTTTAGTCATTATCCATTAGTTATTATTCAAATAAACGTTCGTCATCATTGGACATTATTCTTCCTTCTGGACATTATTAAATGCTATTTAGGGAACAAAATAGTTTAAGCGCTGTTTATGAAAATGACTTAAGTTTTAGTGCTATTTAGTGCAAATATTTCTTTTATTTACTTGAACCCGCTTTGACTAATTGTAATTTTCAGCCATTGGATTGAACTCCATTCGCCCGTGCATGCAACCGGTAGCTAGTAATGTGTCTTCCCGGATCGGAAATATTGACGTTTATCCGAGCATAGTCTTACCTTCTCAAGCGGCAAACATTAATGGGAATTCGATGAATGTGGGGCCAAGATATGACCATACATCACCTTTTGACTTTGTTGGGCACGGGAACTTGTTTGAGTCTTGCGTAGCCGATGCGTCTATCTCGTCGTTTAGTAGTGCCGAGTCTAATGCGCAACACCCAAACGAGGCTCTCGTGGATGACTCGTCTTGGTTTCCTGAAAACTTCCATTTGGGTCACCTCACACCGGACTTCATTTACAACAATCCGGGTACCCTTATATCCAATTACTTTTAGGCTCCGTTTGGTACACAGAATTAAAACCATGAATTTGGAACTGGAGACAACAATTCCAGTTCAGCTGCTTGGTAGCACAAAATATGTGGATTTGGAATTGGTAGTGTCAAAAATGAATTGGAATTGGAGAATTCAATTCCATCATAATCAATTCCATAGAATTTCAATTTCCAATTCAATTCCAATTCCGTCAATTCCGTATACCAAATGAAGCCTTGGGCCCCGTTTGGTACATGGAATTCAAACTATGGAATTGGAATTACGGACTTCAATTCCAATTGTGGTGTTTGGTAGCACAAAAATTATGTGAATTTGGAATTGATAGTGCAAAAAATGAATTGGAATTGGCAGAATTCAATTCTATGGAATTGGCAGAATTCAATTCTATGGAATTGAATCCCATGGAATCTCAATTCCAATTTAATTCCAATTCCATCAATTCCGTATACCAAACGAAGCCTTATTATTTGCAAATGTGTTGGTGTATAAGACATTTCTTTGACCTACAACCACAAGCTTTATCGTGTTTGGTTTTTTGAACTTTTGGTTGAATTAGTTTTTTGCTCATCGTATTTACATCTTATACACACTATAGATTTACTAGAGAGCTACTCGGGGCCTCCTTTTCTTGCCAACGATACAAGCAACTTGCACGATTCATATGGCGCAGGTGAGGGCACCCTTGTAATTTTACAATTGCTTTTTTTTTGTTTCGTCTTTTTAGGGCTTGTTTGGTTGGCGTGTTTTAGAGGGGAGGATTATTTCTTCTTATAACTAATCTGTATTTGTTTAGCCCCTCCAACCAAACAAGGTCTTAGGCTTATTGCTCAAAGCCTCAAACTTAATTTCTTCTTGGATATGATCAGGGGACATTGAAAGGTTCAACAATTCATCAGGCTTGACGCATGAAGAGTTTTAGCCGTGACTGATCTTAAGGTAATGCCCGTTTTGGTTTTGACTGAATTTATTTTCAATTCAATATATTTAAAAATTGCTGTAGAATTAAAAAATAAAAATTATTTTCCCTCTATTCTCTAACGCCGTTTTTTATCTTACCACTTTCTTTTTTGGGCAGCCCTCATTAATCATCTCATTCTCTTCTAAAGAAAAAAATGTTTGGTTTATATCATATTAAAAACATAGAAGAGAATAAGATAAATTATCCCATTTGTCCCATAAAAGTTCTCCTGCTCTCATTTTTCATCCGTTTCAAAACATTTTCTTCACTTTTTTTTATCTTTCCCTTTAGAAGAGAATATGTTGTCCAGAAAACCCATCTTTTAAACAAATTCTAACCACTCAATTTTCACAATTAAACATTTTTCAACAATTTATTTAATCTCCGTGATGTCAAAGCTCTTAGAATATAAGATACATTTCCTGGGTCACAACCACAAGTTTGAGCTTTTGGTTGAATTGGTTCTTTGACATGACATCGGAGCCTTGTTGACTAAGAAGTCACGGGTTCAAAACTCAGCGCTACCCAATTTTAAAAAATTAAAGTTTCGCGTGCAATGCTCGAAAAAAGACTACGCCTGCTTGTGAGAGGGCGTGTTAGAATATAAGAAACATTTCACGGGCCACAACTACAAGCTTGAGCTTTTGGTTGAATTGATTCTTTGACAAAAGCGAGTAAATTAATTTGGGACGGAGGGAGTGAATTGTTTTCCACAACAGACATTCACACAAAAAATTTACACCATAATTTCACATGATTCTCATATCTTTCTAGTAAAATGTTGCTATTTTTGCTATGGTTCTTCCACTTTACTCCCTTGGTGCAGGTAGAATAGGAAGGTAGAAACATGTCTATATCCAGAAGGAATTTGCGCAAGCGCTTGTGGATTGTGTGATAAATAAAAGGGTATATTGGTCCATTGTAGGCTTACCTTAGAGATTTGATACAACCCTAGTAGATTAATGCACAAATAAGTTTTTGTTTTATTACGATGCCGCGAAGCCGGTTCTTTTGACACCGGTCCTTAGTGTCATAATAGGACACTAAATTGCTCATAGGGCTCAGAACCTGGTCCTACCTTCCCTATAAACCCAAACCCCAAATCCGACCCCCAAACCCTAACTTATTTGTTGTAATGGGGGCTGGGATGGAAGCAGGGGTGGGTTTGTAGGGTGTGTTAGGGGTAGGATCATGTCCCGAGTCCTACGGAGCATCGTAGGGCCACAATATTATATTGTAACACCCGATCTGGGTGTCAAAAGAACCGTGGTCTACTATTATTATGATCATCGTCTGTATATACACACACATATATATTGGATGAAGGTTGCTTTAATTTGGAGCATGCTACAACAACGTATTATGAATTCTATATTTTCAGACACTTGAATGTTGTGGGGTGATCCTTCCAAAGGACACTTGGCTAAATAATTAATAAGTTGGGGTTTTGTTAAATGAATTGTGACCTAATAAATCAATGTCTCTTGGTTAAAACAAACGGTCTCAAGCTCAGCGCGCACAATTTTATTAATTTGTTTGTCTTAGAGCACACCCAGTGGGGGCTTGGATCTTCTGTCTCAATTTCTTATCCCACCACTTACATTTTGCCACATGATCTGCCCCCACTTCTAAACTCATCTTTGAAGGGTGGTGGGATAGGACGATATGGGTAGGTGGTGGGTTTAGAGGTGGGGTAGATTCTGTGGTAAGATAAGATGTGAGTGGTGGGATAGGGAGGGACAAAGGATCCAAACTCGTCAAATGGTGAGACTCGAATGGATCCCAAGAAAAGCTTTCATGCCACCTCATAAAAATAGAGATTTAAAATTATTCACTCCAACACTCGGTCCCTCTATTTCAAGTCTAAACTTTAGGTAAAATACAATACTTAATTACAAAAGATCATATACGAATATAAAAAATAAAAAATAAAAAGTCTCTTGGGATCAATTCATCTCCAATGCAAAAAATTTAAAGTGGGACGCAACCTATGAGAGAGAAAGGGACTTGTGACTCTTTATGCAATGAATTTGTAGACCTTAGTGTATAAAAACATCATGGATGAATTAAGCTCTTTGGAAAAAATAAAAGATTATCATGTTGGTCATTTAAAAGTGTGAGAATATTCATATTTCACATGCAGACTTTAAGATCATGGAAGCACAACTCATGACTAAATACCGTGTGGTTGAGTAATTAATTGTGACTACCGAATGAGATGTTACATATTAAATCTCAGCGGGAGTATTGACTTTTTATATTTTAGTAGGTTGAGAATATATATATATATATATATATATATATATATATATATATATATATATATATATATATATATATATANGCCGTTTTGATGTCCGCGACCTCGCCCCTGATTTCCGCCGCCACGGCCATGGCCTCGTCCGTAGCCTCCACATTGACCGGGATTGCCGTCACCATAGCCCGTGCCGCCATGTTGTCCGCCATAGCCGCCGATAGTACCGCCGTGGTAGCCGCCGCCAGCACGGTTCGTGAGAAGAGCCGTGGTGCCCGAGTCAGTGGGACTCGTCCGTTGTCGATCCAGAAGCATGAGGGCAGAACGGACCTGCAGAAACGTGGGCATGGGATCCTGAAATTGCATGAAAGATGTTTGTGCCTGAAAATCTGCACGAAGACCACGAAGCATTTGGAGAACAAGTTGGTGCTGGGAGACTGGTGCATCGACATCGTCCAGCCAGTCCGCAAGATTATGCAATTGTTGGCAATAAACCGCCATGGTGGAGTTGCCTTTGATGGTCGTGCGAAATTCATGCTCTAGCTGCATGGCCCTGGCATTTTTGTTGTCGTGGAACAAGTCATGGACGACTTTCCAGAGAGCAGAGGCAGTAGAAACAGAGGAGATTACCCGATCTGAGACCTCATCGGTGATGTTAGAGAGAATCCAACCCTGGAGGAGAGCGTCGAGTTGGAACCATGTGTCGTCGTCATCGGAGATGGGGACGACGGAGCCATCGAGGTAGCCCTGGAGGTTAAAACGCCGAACAAGAAGGAGAAAAAGTCGGCTCCACTTTTTGTAATTGGGCTGAGAGAGACTGAGTTGAACGGGGACATGGAGTTTCACATTAGAGACTGTTGCGAAAGCAAGATGAGGAGGTTTGGGGGAGGTATTTTGAGAGGTGACTTCACTGGCTTTGGCCATGATTGTGAGAGAGGGGAGAGATGGCTGCCGGCGAGAGGAAGTGACGGCGGTAGGAGGGGCTACCGCAGGTGGGGCGGCGGCTCGGGCTGAGAGAGGGAGAGAAGAGGGGAGAGAATTAGGGTTTTGGTAATTTAGGCTCCGATACCATGTAGAAAGATTAATTTCCTTGATTGAATATGTGGGAGTACATGTGTTTATATATACATGGGATTCCTATTCCTATACAAGGTAGGAGAGAATAATAGGAAACAATATATTACATTAAATATAGAATATATTTAACAATAATGACCCTGAATTTGTTACTGCGTATAGTATGTGATTGAAGATGTTGAAAATCCTATTGCGATCAATGACATTGGGTCGAGCTGAGAAGTCAAGAAATGAGAAGCATCCATAATAATACTCCCTCCGTCCCATATCTTTGTTCCCGTTGCGCAAAACGAAGAAAAACCTCAAATTTTTCTAATCTATTTCATTTAAATATTGGTATATATTGAAATAAGAGGAATTTACCTAAATAGGACTAAAATATAATGATTTTCTCAATATAGAATCATATGTTTTTATTTCTCAATGTAGGACCATTTGTCATTATCCATTAGTCATTACTCAAGTAAATATCCACCATCAATGGACATTATTTCTTCCACTAGACATTATTAAGTACTATTTAGGGAATAAAAAAGTTCAAGTTTTACATTGAGAAATGACATATGTTTTAGTCCTATTTGGTGTAAATTTGACTTCTTTTTGTTATTCCAAATCGCTAACAACTTATCTCCAAAAGAAGCTAGAATCTTAAAGCTACACATAATAGCATGCGCGATTTTGTTAGTAAAGACGTGATTATGCTACCAAGACGATTCAAACACATAAGTAAAAAATCTTGTCACTACAACCTCGTGGAAAACAATCTTACAATCGTAAATTAATGGGGAATAAAATTACACTCATAAAAATGTTTTATAGTAATGTACTTAAAATCAATGAAACTCAAGACCAATATATAGCGGGAAGCAACAACCATCACTATACAAGAGTAGGGTGATCTGGGGGCGTCCCTGTTATTCACCAGGAAAACAAATACCTACACTAACAAATGGGTGTAGATGAGTTCTCTATCATCATATTATATACTCACCTTTGTTTGAAAAATAGTTTCATATCTATTTTTTGTACATCCCACAAAACACTTATACTCTACCTAAAATGTCTAAAATACTCCCAAAATAATTTTTGACCGTAATAAAAAAGAAATAAAGTGTATTTTAGACATTTTAGGTGAAGAAATTTTTTTGTGGGATGCGCAAAAGATGGAGGTGAAGTTGTTTCTTCAAACGGAGTGAGTATAATATAGTAATAATTAGCGGATCCCAAGATGCCGTAGTGAAATTAATTAATGATCAAAGGAGGGCATTGTAAAGTAGAAGGTTCCAAGTATCTGGCAAGCCAGGGAGGCACCAATGGCTGCAATCCATGGTGCCATGGTCGCTATAAGTGGTTGGATGAGCGTCCTTTCTGTCTTGCGATAGATCCGTGATGTCGAGGAGATAAACTGGCTTCTTTAGCCTCTTGAATACTCTTTGCATCACCATCAAGGCCTCCGATGAGATATCCGATAGGTAAGTCTGCTCATTATAAAGAGTGGGTTCGACCTCCCCTTCGCACGACTTTGATGGCTTACCCCATTCACTCCCACTATTTACACAACCAATAGATCAGCTAGGAAAAGTTTTGAATTCTAATAATAAGGTGATGGAGAAAGGAAAAGTGTTTTTAGGTGTGCTTAGCTTACTCATAGTGGGAAGGGGAAATCCCTTGGAAGAAGACCTTGGGTTTGGATGGACCACGGACGTGGCGATTGACCCATCTAGCCCAGGTCGTCATCCCGTGGTAGAACGCAACCACGCGGTTCATGTCTTTGTACAACTTTCCTCTTAGTTGCATGTAATCCCACCTGCAATGCATCATAGAAACAAATAAATACATTTTATATTGCATATAAGAAGGGGGTCGAATTGAGTTGGATTAGAAGTGGGTTCAATTATTATTCATACGGTTGGGAGGACTTGGTGTGAGTCCACCAATGCCATGAGTTGAAAATCAAGACGTCCATTCTTCTCCATGCTCTACTGCCATTGGTCATGGAGTCCAACACAAGAACGGTGTGGCCTGTCTTGGTCTTGACCATGTCAACCAGGAGTGGTGTGCGATACATCACCAATTGAACATTGTAGTTCTGCCACCCAAAACTCATTAGGGACCAATGAACCATTGCATTGCAATAGAAAAGTTGTGAGGTTAACCAAAGCTTATCCAACCTAAGTCTATGTGGTATGGAGGGTGCGGGAGAGGCGTGACCGCCTACGCGGTGGGGTGACCACGCCGGTGGGGCACGACCGGGTTGGGGTGACGACAATCGCTGAGAGAGGACGGGGGAGGGTTTTCTTTTCTATTTATTTCTTTTCAAATTCTAACCAATCAAAATTTTACAAATCTCCACACTCATCACTCTCAATCACCCCCTTCACCCCTCCGCATACCACACAGCCTAATACAGAGTGCTTCGTGAAAGGTAGTGTGATTTGACAAATTATTATGACTAGAGTAGATTTAGAGCTTGTTCTTTTCAACTTACTTTTATTAATTACTTGTTACTCTGTACTTGTTTTTAATGGGTCCAGATCAAATTAAACCTAACTAAAAACAAATTTAAATACAACTAGAATCATATCAGATCTTAATAATATTAAATCTGATACAATCAATCAATCAGATTAGACGAGGAAAAGAAAGGATATAGCAGCAAGCTCTATAAAAAATATGAATGTGTGACCAAAATATCCATATTTACCATAAATAACCAAATGGAATATCAAGCATTGTCCCCACCTCGAGGCTCCAACCACCACATTACGCACCACTAACACCTGCTTCTTTGTCTATCGTTCTATCAAATATCAATGAAAGTGTCCCTCTTTTTATGTGAAAAGTTTGTCTTTTTTTCGTTCTCAAATTAAACTCAATAAATATAATATTAAAAAAGACTATGAAAATCAATATACTTATATACAATATCATATTATCACAATACAATAATTATATTTTTTTAGATAAAAAGATCGCACTCCTTTTGAAGAAAAGACTCCGTTTTGTTCCTATTTTAATTGATACTCCCTCCGTTCCTTTAAACACTTCCACTTTTGACTTTTGGCAAAAATAAGGAAAGTGTAATTTTGGTTGACTTTCTAATTTTGCCCCTGATGTGATGGGTAAAAGTAAGATATGATAGTTTGGTTATTAGGGAAAAAGTATGATGTGATAGGTAGGGTATGAAAAAGTAAGGGTAAAAGTGGTTTTTTAATAGAAAGTGGAAGTGTTTTAGGGAATTCAAAAAAAACGAAAGGGGAAGGGTTTTGTGGAACGGAGGGAGTATATTCTTTCTCAACCTACCAAAATACCAAAAGTAAACACTGGCACTAGACGTCTCATTTGAGAGAATCAGAGTTATGCTGCTGGACTTTGAGCTAAGACATTAGTTCATAGTTCTCTCGTCTTGAAATATTTCTCTAGGTTTAACTTTTTATTGTCAATGAAGATCGACAATTTACTAATAATTGAATAAAAATTACATGATATATAAATTACATATAAAAGTATTTAAAAATACTTTATAAAACAAATCTTATAAATTATTCTTGTATCAATATCTAATATAAATATTATTTTATTAATAGTCAAATTTTATTAATTCTAAATGTGAAAATTCAAAATGGGATAAATATTATGGGTTGGAGGTAGTATAAGAATGGATGTATCTTTTCACATAAAAAGTAATCAAACAATAAATGGAATAAATATTTATAATAACATTATAAAGTATTTATTTCATTTTTTCAAGAAATAAAAACAATTTGTAAACTATTATTTAAAAAAAACAATTAATTGACCTATGAAGAGAGTACAAGCACATAAATTATTAGATGGACTTAAAAAATTGGCATTCACTTAAGGCCCAATATTAAAGTTTACTCCCTCCGTTCCGGAATATTTGTCCAGTTTTAAATTTTATAGGTCAAAATCTATAAACTTTGATCACAAATTAAATAAAAAGGATATTAGACATATTGACACAAAAATGGTTTTATTAAACTTATTATATAAATCATTTTCAAAATATTATTTTATCTAATTAAAATATAATTTTGTTTAGTTATAGGCTAAAGATTGAAAATGATTGACTGAAAAAAGTCAAAACTGAACAAATACTCTGGGACGGAGGTAATATTAAACAATACAACTCCATAACAATGGATCCAGGAATAATACAATGCACATTGAATTATATTCCAATGTTTTAATCTCCACAAAGATAATTATTTGGGAGCAATTTTTTTTCCACTCTTTAAATTATGAATAGTTTTTCTAAAACACATTAATATAGTTAGAAACGGATTTAATACTCAATGAAAAGATTGGTTTGACCGCTTGAAATTATTATATGCACTCCGAATTTTCAAAAAATGAAGCACGTTTTGGGGACAATGTCGTCCTCCACAAATGGGTTGTCAAAAGTCGTGCTTACCTGCCTCCCACTAATTTCGCATATAATATTCCTCATGTTTTCCCTCTAACTCAATTATGTCGGGATGTGACTCATCTTTTTTTAAAAAAAATACTTGTTTCATTTTCCGTAATGTATAAAATATTTTGGGAATGAGATCTCATGTCAATGCAGGGGTAAGAAATTTGATTAATTTAATAAGAAATTTCTTTGGATAAGAGTAAAAACGGTATACAAATACTAATAAATGAGTCTTAAGGATTTTAAGACAAAAATAGGAGTATAATAATACTCCCTCCGTCCCGCTATATTTGTCCATTTTTTACTTTTAGAACTGTTCATCTAAGCACTTTGACTCATCAAATTCTCTCAATATGTAAGCCTAAATATAGTCATGTGTGATCTTGTTTGATTTGTCTTAACATATATATTATTAATATATAATTTCTATAATTTTTTAATATACAAATTACAAGATAAAATTGATTAAAGAAGTGTATTGGATGGTGTGTAAAAATGAAAGTGGACAAATACTCTGGGACGGAGGGAGTAGTATGATGTAAGAGTACGTGTTGGTAGTGTATGTGATGCAAAATTGATAATAGTGTAATATATCAGTGTGATTATTAGTTAATCATCGGAGGTCCGCGGTGACACTCTGGTGGCCAGCAGCGACGGATGGCAATGTGGCAGTGATAGTGTGGCAGTTACAATGTGACAATGTGATGAGTGTGACACTGTGACAGTGTAACAATGACAGTGTGAACTCTTATAACTTTGATCTCAAAAAACTTATGGCTTCTATTTTGGTATTTTCATAGATTTTTATTCCGACTAAAGCTCTATTTAATTGATAATGAGTTTATTACTTGTCCATCTATACTAGTCAACTTCCCTAAAAATGCACTAGTAGTATTCTTTTCTTAAACGAAACTCAAAGTCGTTTTATTTCATTACATATTTGTGACTTATGGGCTGCAGTAGTGCCAGCGCAGCCTCGCCAACTTTTTGGAGCCTCCAAAAAAGACGCTAATTTGTTACCCCTCATGTTTATTCTATGAATTAATTAATGAATGCTACAAGGTGAATGTTCAATCAATAATCAAAATTCACTTCAATATATGTTGAGTATAGATGATCTATTTGTATTAAAAAAATGTAATTTTTAAACTTACTAAGTATCAATTTTTCTTTGAATTTGTGACTATCTATTTATTCCATCACAAAAATATACTACGAAATAACGTTTTAATTTAAAATGTTATTTTTAAAAAATGGATAAAACCCTTTTATAATCTAAAGTTCAAAATCGATATTTGGTGACCATTTAACCCACTTTGGTGACCTTATCATAACAAATTGGAAATATCTTTTTGTGGGGGTCATGGTATACTCCAATTCCATTTTTGTTGAAAAAAATTGAAGAATAAAGCTACTTGTATATCAAAGTGTTATACCTTAGATTGTAAACTACCGGTATGCACCGATATTTTAATAGTCTACATTGGCATAAAATATTAATGTAATTTTTTTTATCACGCTAGCAGTATTTTGTGGCAGTATGAACCATCAGAGTATCGATATATACTTGTGATATACTCCGTACAACTTTGGGACACAACCCTTAGTGTACACAGTACACCTGGTATGGTGGAAAACTAAAAAAAATTATCCCATTGGTCTAGCTTAGCAAGGTCAGAACAATAAGCTAGCTCCCACCTCCCCCAAAGCAGGAAGGGGGACAAGGACCAGACATTTATGCATGCCCTAAACCAACAAAAATCACAAATCAAGTTTCCCAAATTAATTTTATATCCTTCCTCCTAAACCTAATTTCTCATTCCAGTTTACGAAGTTTGACCAACTTTATTTTTCAACTTAATTTTTTTGAATTATAAATGTGAAATTTTTAATCAAAATTTATGTATTTTAAAACTACATCTAAAATTTTGCAAAGTGTGGAATCACTCACCGAGAAAGTAATGTTTTTGATGCCATTTATGTACGTATATTGGTAGAGGGCGCCACTTTCACCGGCGGATGAATGAACCAAGCATCCCAACGATTCCCACATGTTCAAACTCAGTGAGTCGCCAACGAACATAATCTTCTTCCCCCTGTTCTTCTTCAAGAACGCCCGCCCGTTGAACCTGCTCGGGCCGGATCAACACCGAGTTAAAGAAAAAAAAAGAACCAACCCAACCAAAAGCTTATAAAAAAGAAAAAGATTCGAAGCGGTTTAATATTATCACCTTTGAAGGTTACAAGAAGATGGCTGCCACCGGTACTTGAGGTAGTCGGAATCGGGGCGCCCGTACTTCTTGCAATTGAACTCATTGTCTATGAAGGGGCACTTTGAGAAATCATAGAGAGGGTAAGAGGGATCTTTGACCCATTGTCCTCTGAAAATATTGCAGTACTGTTTTTCTTTTATTATTGCCTCTTCATCTGCTGGGCTGCTGCTGGTTTGATGGAATGAGAAGAGGGAGAAGAAGAAGAAGAAGGAGAAGAACAGAGCTCTGCCCATTTTGAAAGGGGGAGTATTATTATTGCTGAATCCGAATCTCATTCCAAGTAAAGGACAAGGAATGGAGATCAAGGATTGCCTGCTCTCCTACCAGCTGACTATATACGGAGTATAATGTACTGTCACTTTGAATTTTCAGGCTCACCTTTTGAAAAAAATACTCCCTCAGTCCCACTATATTCGTTCACTTTTGACTTTTGGAACTATTCATCTAAGCATTTTGACTCATCAAATTCTCTCAATGTGTAAGCCTAAATATAGTCATGTGTGATCTTGTTTGATTTGTCCTAACATATAGATTATTAATATATAATTTCTATAATTTTTTAATATACAAATTTCAAGATAAAATAGATTAAAGAAGTGTATTGGATGGTGTGTAAAAATGAAAGTGGACAAATACTCTGGGACGGAGGTAGTAAATTGTAAGGAGTAATAATATCTCCTCACTTGTCAAAACATTAGTGATTTATTAGGAATAATATGAAAATTATCCTGAGTAATCTCAACTTTAGCCGGTTCTTTAAAAATAGTCATACATTTCACTGCTAAAATTTGCGAGTTTTGGGTCGATGTTAAGTTGTTCAAGACGTGTTAACGAAAACGGATGTTTTGCACAAAAAAATGAAAGTTGAGATCATTTTTGATGAATTTTCTTTTTTTATTTGTTTTTCTAAAAATTTCATTTAAATTTTTAAAATTACTTTCTTCCTCAATCATTTCTTTTTCTTTTTCTAAAGATTAGCTTTACTTTATAAAAAAATTAAAAAATAGATAGAAAAACAACAAAAATGATAAAAATAACTAAAGTGATACAAAGTTGATAAAATAAATAGGATAATCAATACAAACTAAATCGAAAATGGAAAGAAATAAAATAAAAATATACGTTGCAGTGAGTTTTAATGTTTAACGCACTATACAAAGTATTAATGTATCACTTCTTATTTTTTAGGAAAAAAAATTAAGAATAATTTCAACATTACGTATTTTTTCAAAAAATAAGAAGAAAAAGTACATTAATACTCTCTAGAGTGCGTAAAATGTTAGAACCACAACTCAATATATATTTATTTTCTTTCTTACCAGTTTCAGTTCAATTCATATTCATTACCTTATTTATTTCATTAACTTTACATAGTTTTATTTAATTTTCTCATTTTCGTTATTTTTATATCTCTCATTTATTTTTTAAGGTAAGACTAATCTCTAAAAAAGAAAAGGAAATGGAGGTAGAAAGACATTTTAAAATTTTAAATGAAAATTTCAAACATAAAAAATAAAAAACAAAAATTCATAAAAAATTATCTGAACTTTCATTTTGTTGCGCAAAAGAGGCATTTATGTTAACTCACCGTTAGCAACTTAACGGTGACCCAAATTTCCCAAAGTTCAGTAAAGTTGATATTATTACGCATCACAGTGAAAGGTGAAATTATTTTTAAAAGACCGGGTACGGTTGGGATTATTCTAGATAATTTTTCCGGAATAATAAATGCATCACGAAATAGAATGTTACTCCCTCTGTACTATAATGTTCTTATTTATGAGACAAAGAGTGTAGTAGTGAATTCTGATTAAAATAAATTTAATTTTATAAAAGAGTATATAATTTTATAAAATTTCATTAAGTTTTTACCTAATTGCATTCAATATCAATGAACTCGAGCATTTCTTAGGCATAAAATAAAATGAATTTCACTAAATGTTTACTTTAGTATAATTAATTTTCATATCATTGGACTCAATAAGATTTGATTGGAACATAACACTATTCCAAGCAAAATATCCAAAACCAAAATATATCTAAACTAAAATATATCCGAAACTAAATTGATTTATATCAGAAATTTATTTGAATTGATCTGGAATTGAACGAAAATGAAAAATGTATGGAACTAAATTAAATTTGAACCTTTTTATTCTCCAAGCTATTTTTATGGAACCAAAATTTATGTTCTCCAAGTTATCTTAGCTGCCACATCATGCATCTTGGCTTTGGCATTCTCATGTCTTGACAACCTCGACCCTATCTCGTCCCCTTGGTCTGGGATCTCCACATCATACGGTTGATCGGCGTTCTAGGAAAAAGTGGTCAGGTCGTCATCTTGGGCTGAACATTCTAGTCCCCACGGGACTTGCTCGAGCCTGTCTGCTCGTTGTACTTCCTGATTCGCTCAATCTCAGCTTCAATCTCATCAAGACTTTGAAAGTACGCCAACCGCTATGCCTTGAATTCCTCCCAATATAGTATTCTAGTGAGGGCTTGTGGGTCTGCAACTCCTTTTGTACAGTCAATGGATCATTTCGGATCAGCACGGTGGACAGGCCCGACATCCGATCCTATTTGTCCAAAACGTGGGATAAGAGCAACACTATGTTCTTCATGGTTGCCTCCATTGGGGTTGGCTGAGCGACTAGTTCTCCCCGATCCCTTCTATAGAGAGAGGCGGTACAACGACTAATGATTTGGTCGTCGTTGCGTTTGCCTTAATGTTGTTCTTGGTCTTTCTTCCTACTATGCTTAAAACCACGCATGAATATTTTTACTCGTCTCTCAATACAAGCACTAATGGTAAAATTTAATTCCACTCACTATTAAACTCACACAAATATTCGAGTAATTACGAAAATAATATTGAGTAAGAGACAATTAAGAATATTAAACCTTAAAAATTGAAAGAAAAGAACTCTCTCCAATTGAACGCCTTGGGGTATTTATAGCTCACTAAGCTTCCTGATCGTATTAGACTTCTCTTAGTAAACTTAGGTAAACCTTTCCCTAAGTATCTAACCCAAGTCGCACTCACCCGAGCCCATTAAGCGTACCTCTCGGCCTAGATAGGTTCAATGTTAGAAATTTGTTTAGAGGCTCATTGCTGCGAAGCAGCGTTGACTATGCGTTGAATGAAGAAACAGATAAATTATGACTTGATAGTTTAACGAATCGCTTAAATGCTTTCAGATCAAAGTTATTTCGGGGTATACTAAAATATTTTAATTGGATAAGGCGTTAATCAGGAAAAAGCACTTTGAATTCCACTCTTAACCATGCCTTTGAGACTCAATTTATTGAGTTGAAAATTGGAGATCGGATATGAACGTTCGTGTAAAGATGCAAATGTTCGCGCGTAGAGATAAACATGAAAGTCCTATGAACGTTCGCTTAAAAGTAAAACATTCGCGTGGAGAGTTTTGTGCGATTTATGGCCAATTTTTATGTTTGATCCGTACATCCGAATCTTTAAGGTATTGGATTTCGTTCTAGGTTATTTGCCCCTTGGACCCTGCCAGGGGCTGCCGCCCCTTCGACACCGCTACTGGAGGCTGTCGCCCCCGGACCCCTGCTATGAATTAGTAATATCGTTGAACGAGTGTGCACTCCCAACCTCCTAACTCGTTTGACAACGTCTATTCAAATTCTTATCTGATCTAAGTAAACTCAATCACACAAAATAGCTGATAACACTAAAATCACCAACATTCAACCCATCAATCCACCTTCGGGGCTCGCTCCTCGGGTCTGGGTGTTGGTGCCAGATTAATTAACTAAGATAAATATATTAACTAATTTCATTAATAATTACATCCTGACCCAATTATTAAAAAATTTCCTTGATTTCTTAGGTGGACTTCGGAACCAATATAAGAATATACCTAACTTCATCGTTCAAATTCAATATTTTAAAAACATAACTAAACTTAAGTTAACATTGACATTTTAAAATTAGTTTGTATCATTAACATATTATTAAAATACAAAAACTAATCATTATAGATTGTAGTCAATCAAATTGCATGCCGCAAATTAAATTTTTTAAGTTTTTTTCCATCCATCAAACAATCGATGAATCAAACAATGCAATGATATCGGACTGATATAAGCCGAAATTAAATGCCTTTTGTCAAAGTCCAAACTAACCTACGGGCACACCTCAATATCTCATTGAATTGGTTTAAAGTGGGAAAAATGTTGCGTACAACTGTTAGCCATTGTTATTTGTTAAGGTGAGTTGTAATAATGATTATATTCAATGATTATATTCACAAATTAGAACATATATTCTACAAGTTAAAAATCCAATGACTTGGTGGCTCATGTATTTTTAAAATACTCTTTCTAAATTTTGAATTGAATATTTATCCCTTTGAAAAAATACGCGTAAAGAAATAAAATACCGAATAAACAAAATGGCCTTCATGGTTTGTCACATAATTGACAACGAAATAAAATTCCAAGTTTTCAGTTTATATTATTTAAAAAATTATGTCAAAAATTCTTCAAAAGAAGATGAGACACAAACAATTTATGAAAAATATATAAATAAATAAAAGTTTTCGTGATTTTTAAATTGTCAACTTGTCATTCATTTTGGGACAATGGAGTATTTAAGAATAAGGATATGAATATCCATTTTGTAACGAAACACTCTAACTGTTGTGTAAGTGCAGGCAATGACACCATATATTCCACCTCACAAATACTTTCACGATCATATAGTCAACACTCTAACTTGTTGACTAAGAGGTCATAGGTTTGAAACTCAACGCCACCCAATTTTTAAAAAATTAAGATTTTACGTGCAAGGCTCGAAAAAGACTACGCCTGCACATGAGGGGACGTGTTAAAATATAAGAAACATTTCTTGGGCCACAACCATAAGCTTGAGCTTTTAGTTGAGTTGGTTCCTTGACACGGTCCTCGGTCTATTTCAATTATATGGACCTTACTGACGCAGATTCTTTAGTATAAGACTATAAGTAATAGGATTAGAATCAGATTAGGATTAGAAGATTAGGATTAAAATTAGGATTAGGATTAACAAATTAAGATTAAGCACATAAGCGTGGGTGAAACGGACATTTTTCTTCATTAGCTTTTGAGTCCAACAATTTTGTAAGAAGGTCCGGAAATTAAGCGCGTAGACCTTGAGTACACGGAATTATCACTCATATCACATTTAATTTGCGCGATATCAGCGAAACCAAACCCCAAGTATTCAGAGCGTAAGCAAAATTTTGTAGCCAATTACGGAGTATAAGAGTTAATGTTAATCATTTGTCATCTCGATTTTCTCATGCCCGGTAAAAAAAAATTCAAACTCAAACATGTACTCACCATAAATTACTCTAGTCGACTAGTCTAAATAAATTTTAAATAAAACGTAATTTTCAATTTATAACACTTTCTATAATCTACCTTTCTTACCTACGCACATACATTGCGCGTGATTATTTTTAGAAATAATCTGAATATATGTTAATTATTTTAAGAATATAATA